TGCCAACGGTCTCTATCGCATAGCGTATAAAAGGGATGACATCAAACTCCCATCACACTTGCAAACTTTTCTCTCACGCGCTCACCCTCGCGGTCGCGATTTTTCCCAACCCTCCCCCCACAGGTACAGTTCGACTTATCGCGGCTGCACAGACGTGGCTATTTTTAGATCTCCTTTTGACCAATAAGAAGTCACTTCCGGTTGGTCGCGCGCGCGGTAGATCCGCTACAAACATCGGACGCAGGATTAAATAAATATGGCAGATTGAAACCCTATAATATTTTTTTCTCATCCAGGCTAAAAATTCAMTTCCTTTTGTTTTGAACAACCAATCACAATGTGTGAAGTCTACCGGGTAAAATCTGTCAAAGTCCGTGTTTTGGTTTAGTTCGAGGTCAAAATAATAAGTCAATGTTTGTCGAACAGATGCCACGCCAAAAAAATCATTTGTAGTAATTCATCTGGATATCTCTTTTGTTTTATCACATGTCCGAGCGAAACAAAGTAGCGTTTTCTCTTAGCCGTATTTTGATGCACTGCCAAACGAGCCTTACCAAACAAAATGCAAAAGTATATAACTTTATCGATATAACAATCTACGCTGAATATTTATATTGCGGATTTACTACTAGATTTTTATCAAAAAGAACCCCGAGTTCACGCAGCTATGCGTCTAGTTTTTTCATTGAATTTTAGTCTACAATTGATTAGCAGAGAACTTAGACCTTGCTGCTGATGAAGTCAATCAAAACTTAAGAGAGCCAGAACATGTACACCTGACYAGGAAGTGATCTGCGGCCGTAGCTCTTGCGAATTTCTCCGTAAGTAGCTCATTTACTTCTTTATCTTCTAGTCTTTTAGCTCTTTCGCTRMTGACCTTCGATGAATGTTTGWAGAGGCGATRAAACAAGAATGATGTGACTCGATTTTGCTACCGCGTAAAGACTCAAACACGAAGCGAAAAACATTGAAAGATCAGAGATTTACCATAATCCATTAGTAGATTTAAGAAGTCTTGCTTTTTTCTTCATTGAGATCAGAATTATCTAAGAACTTACAAGCCCCTTTGAAAGCTATCTGCCATRAATATCAATGAGCCTTCTAGATTTTGGAAGGCAACGCAGCAGACGTTAGTGGGAGAGACCTGGGAACGAACCTCTCAACGGCTGCGAGAGGAGACTATTATTTCATGTGCTGTCGGCCATTTAGGATTTCCTTGTTGCGTGTTCAGCAGTCGGTTCAAGTTCGCATAATGCCTATAAGCGCAAGAACYTTTCTGAAATACAAAACATTGTGCATTGGTCTATCTTCAGTACAAACAATGCCGTAATTGGCAGCATGAACAAGTGGAACAAAAGATGTTTGTATCGAATCTAGACCACAATGCAATTTAAGAGTGAGTTTCTGTAAATATCAAACATTTTCGAAACATTTTCTTGGCCATCTCAAAAATTCGATTTTCCTGAAACTTTCCATACAAGTTTGACTCATTTTTTTAAATGTCTTGCATATTGTAATTTAAAATCAAAAGATTAGAATGTGCACTGGAAGTGGCATCTTACCTGAATTAATCCATTATTTTCTCGTCATGAATTCTCAAGATATCGTTCATTCAGTTTTTTAACCTCTGAGCTTCAGTGAAGCGCTTCGAAGGTATATGATTTGACAGTCATCCAACATACAACAAGTGAAAATAGCGCCTCAGTGTGGCTTCAATCTTATAGTTTCGGCACAAACAAATTGAAAACATCATTGATAGCTCAGTATATCTTCTAGTAAATTGAAAACGATTTCAATACCACTTTGAAAATCAAATCTTACAATGAATATGATACATTTAAAAAAATAACGTTCACATGTTCATCTCTTGTAGCTTTGATATCTCAATAACAACTTAAAAAGTGGTAATATCCATGAAATGCAAATTATAAATGATTCCAAAACGGCTTTTACGAGTTCATAAGTACTTTTTAGTTATCAATTTTTTGATATCTTTGTTGAGTATATTTAACGAAATTGTTRCAAGKTCGGTTAGTTTGGAAGTCTGTCATTTAGCAAATATTTAAGTGCCCAAAATTTTGAAAGTAAGTTTTGGTAGACCTAGGATAGAATAGTACTGGACGTAATTTTGGTTTCAAACAGAGCGTTACCACCAGAGATACAAGACACCAAAGTTACCCAAAATTGAGCATTTAATAAATATTGAAAACCTCAGTGTGTTGTAAATTTCATTATGGAATAACCATGGCAACCAGACCAAAGAAAAGTATCCCCAACAAAATTCCAAGGATGATTCTTTGCTGTGATATAGCAAAAGAATTGCGTTGCAAAATTGTTTAATAGTAATGATGGCCTAAAAAGCTACCTATTTACAGCTATTTTGGATCAAAACTATGACCCAAAATAGTGGGGGTGGTTGCCATGGAAACGAAGGCCCCCCCGACCTTATGATACCGATTTTTCTTTATTGCGGGGTGAGTCAAACTTGTATGGAAAGTTTCAGGAAAATCGAATTTTTGAGATGGCCACACAATGTTTGATATTTACAGAAACTCACTCTTAAAATGCTTTTAACATGTTTTTAATATACTAAAATACATTATGTCAATACAATATCGAAACAGAACAAAGAAAAACGATTTTCATTGATAATGCATGTAACTCTGTGTAACTCTAAATAGTTTCGTCATTACCCCTGCAGGTTAACCTTCTGGTTAGGACTCATGGAATTCGACGATTATCATCAACTACTCAACCAGATGAATGTCCTGTATGCTCTCACAACGAATGGGATCCATTAGAAGAAGTGATTGTAGGGAGAGTTGAAGGTATTCTTGACTCTCRCTGATCACGTGATAGTCTAACAAAGCTATCTAGAGGCCAAATTAGCAAGTTTTAATTATTGTCCTCGAGATAGCACCTTAAGCTAAAGGATCATTACGAAATTTAKAGCCAAAAGGACCAAAAAACATATCATTACCAACAGTTTTGCAAAGTTTGAATTYAATTTGTGATTTTATAGAAAAATGTAAGCTTTTGAATAAGGTCTTACTTTACAAAGAAATATATGGGACAGCCAYGACAGTGCCCTAATCTGAGGCACGAACATACMGTACTCCGAGTATCAAATGATTTTGYATTACCTTTACAAGGTCTTACAAGAATATCATTGTAAACATTTTATTTGATGCTGAGATCACTATAATTGTTTTAAGATTAACAGACTTTTCGAGTATTTTTGGCGTGTATCAAGTCGCATGACAGTATTGCGTGACATATTTTTGAGCGTTTTAAAATAGCTCAGCGAACAAACAGCTAGAACTTCTATCATGTTCTTCAACATATTTCAGTACTACAATAATGTGTATCTGTGATTTTAGATTATTTCGACTGATGACGTAATGTGAAAGTCGAGAATATACCAAACCAACCGCCTTTCGATTTCATATGAGTACTCCGGCCGCAAACAAATATGCTTGACAAAATTCATGTTATTGTCTTTTTTTATTGTCTTTAAAAAGTCTTTTCAATAAAGTCATGGTGTGTTATTGCATTGTTAGTTAAAGGACTAAACTTTCAWTGAAATCTTGGATACCATCTTTCCATTACACATTGTCTATTTTTGAAATTTAGAAGCGCTTCYCTTCTGAATGAAACCAGGAGGAGTCACAYTTTGTGAAATAAGTTCTTCAGAATCAATTTGGAAACACTTTGAGTGCACAGCGTGCTAGCTGGATCAAAGCCAATTTTCCTGATMTACTAAATGAAAATTTTATAAGTTTGATTAATGATGACATTCATTTACAATAAACACATTTTGCAGAATTCAGGAGGGGCYTAGTACTTAGAGTATACTTTTAAAATGAAAATACTAGGGATGGAAGCTCAAAGGCTATGCTTATTACCCAGAATGCATTGTAGGCATCAAAAATATTCATCAGCCCTTAAACCCGAAATGCTATTGAAAAAGCACGATCCTGAACTGGATTGATGTTTAAGTTGTGGGGTGCCACAAAGGAATGCGTTCACTCAGGGACGACTGGTCAAATCTKGTCTAAACGAGAGTATTATCCTCCTCGCCCTTCGTTCTCCTTAACCAAAATGATATTAAGCCTATACACCCTTTTAATTAAGTCCCCACTTGACATCAAATTCATTCTTTTCAATTTTTTCAATACAAAATGAATTCAAAAGAAGAAATTTAACGTCAAGTTTGGAGAACACAATACTTTGGGACTTATTAAATGGGTGTATAGAGCTTGATTCAAATGATGTACAGGGACGGTTTTTTCGCTAAAGGTTTTAGAACTCTCGAGGCCAACTGACCGTAGTGTTACGAGCAGTGTGCGACTTTGGCATGATGAAATGCCAAATCCAGTAGTTTTTTATCATTGTTCATAAAGGATGACTGTTTTGATTCTTAAGTTATGTGGTAAACAACGCAGGTTATTATTTTATTCGCATTTCTTTGCAGTTTTGTGTTTAATTCAGTCAAGCGCAATGTAATGAGAATCTATGACTTGATCAATAAATAATTTCACTGTTTTAGGTCAGTTTGTGGTCAATTTGTGAAAAGTCGCGTCGTGCCACTCATTACGTTTCGTGCTTAGCAACCTTCCGGATCCATAACGTGAGCTCTTTTTTGTATTTAGGAAGTGCGGTGCCACCGTTTTCAGATGCCTTTAAACCAATGATCGAAAAAAGACATTGGCCTTTCTTTGAAAAAATGGCTGGTAAACCTTTCCCAGAAGAAGTGACAAAGAAAGCAACCGTACAGATTGAAGAGCTCTGCAATATTTTGAGACACGAAGGAGTAACTGTTAGAAGGCCAGAGATCATTGACTTTACAAAGGTAAATACACTTATAAATCTACAAAACTTAGCTAAACGTTTTTTTCAGTTTTATCAGATAAATATGAACACACAATTCCCAAAAAAAGCTGATAAAGATGATTATTGTGCTTTCATAGGGCAAGTGTCAATAAGGCTTGGTGATATTCTAGTTTTGTACTTTTTAATACATACTTTTTATTACAGTACAAATATTCTACTTCAACTCGTGAAAAACGCTATTTCAGAAAACATTGAAAACTAAAAAATGGATTACTGGTTCCATTTCATTGAAAAGCGGTTTCCGTGGCGTCAGAATGAAAATCCAACTATGGAAAGCAATTAAGTTTCGAATTGTCATTTTATAAAGCATTTACGCATTCCGTGGAGTTTGATATATAGATTACTGAAGTGTGGTTTTATGGTTGGGTACCACATACAATGTATATTTACCATGGTTCCTTTCGTTATGAAACAAGCGTTTGTATGCGGCCACCCAACTAATATAAAAAGTAGGTAACACCTAATAGCGGAGCTCCAATAGCAATATTGAAGAGAATGATTATCTACCATAGTTGCTTCAAGCATTAATCTTTTTTATCTTTCAAGTAGTCTTTTTATCGTCGCTAAAGCTAAAACTGAAACCAACTGTGAGCAATGCAATAGCAAACTCGCCTTATCGTTCAAAGATCAGATCATATTTAATCAAACCATTGGTTTTATCAATTTATAAAGACTGTTATTCTGTCAATTATTTGTTTAAGTCTCTCTCAATCTATTGGTGATGGCATTCCATGGTTTCAAATGTCAACACTTTTCGACAAAAAAATATGGGCAAAATAAACGATCTGTGTGAGCTTTTTTTACTGCAAAATTTGCAGTATTTCAAATACAGTATAATCCTTTTCGTGTTGTAGAAATATCAAAGCAAAATCCTTTTTTCTTATTTCATTGAAAGGGGGTATAAAGACGCTTGAAAATTTGGTTTTCATCTTCGCACATCGATTTCCCGGATGTGCAGAAGCGGCGCAGAACAAATTGTCGTGAATATTGCTTTGATTTCGCTCTCCTGTGGATTTTTTGTTTGTGATTATTTTTTCTGATTTTATTAATTTGAAAGACAAATGTTTGAGGAAAACATCTTGGTGATTCAACAAATATTTTGACGCTTTTTTTCTTTTCGCGCGGAACATGGGTTTCCTGTGTGGTGGTACAGGGACGGACGGAGAGTCTTTACGCGCGGGGAAAAAAAACCTGTGTCGGTTCATGAATAATCGACTCAATAGACATACCATTTTTCTTACCTATGGTGCTCCGCTCGCACGGGGGTCTTCCTATATGGACCTCCCAGCCGGTAAATAACATTTTTAGTTTTCAATTCACGTGGTTTTCGCAAAAACTGAATAGACTTAATGAATGTTTTCTTAGTTGGGTTTCGAACAATAGAATCCTCTTCTCTTGAGACTTTTTCATGGACTGTTGAAATTAGTTTCCTTGAAGAAAACTTGTTCATGCGAAAGCGAGCAATCGAAATTTGAATATTGTTATTAAATATTCTTAGCAGTCATTCTGGAAACGATGTCGAACAGTGACGATTTGTTTATAGCTCAAAATACGTTTGACATCATTCCTTTGACGAACTTTGATAAAGTTGACGATTTGCTATCGGATTTGGAACTCCGCATGCTTCTTCCCGCAAATAACGATGACAAAGTCTGCAGATGGGAAAAAATGAGAAAAATTACAATAGTTTTTGATGTTGAACTCGCTCGAAAAAATACGAGGGAAGGATTCAAGAAGGAACAAACTAAAGTACCAATAAATGGCCGTGTGTACGTGCTTGGATCATAGAATGGACCAAGTCACACCGATTACTTCTGATTCATACACGTTGGTTAATTCCGAAGAATAGATTCTTTTAAAAGTAACGGCGAAGATCTTGGTTATTGTTGTCTCTATTCTCTGATGAACATATGAAGAAAAGCTGCTGGACTCGAACTTATTACACTCTAAATCTCCTCAAGTTTTGCTGGCCGCACTGGTCTTTTTTAGGGGAAAAACAGTTTAGTTTACCTAGTTTATTTGATGTTCAGCAGGGAAATGTGGGGTTGATGAATTGAATTGAATAAATCGTTATAAATTCAGCGGGCTATATGAGTGATTCCGGTCACTCATATATAGCCCGCTGAATTTATAACGAGCTATTCAATTCAATTCATCAACCCCACATTTCCCTGCTGAATATCAAATAAACTAAGTAAACTAAACTGTTTTTCCCCTAAAAAAGACCAGTGCGGCCAGCAAAACTTGAGGAGATTTAGAGTGTAATAAGTTCGAGTCCAGCAGCTTTTCTTCTTATGTTCATCAGAGAATAGAGACAACAATAACCAAGATCTTCGCCGTTACTTTTAAAAGAATCTATTCTTCGGAATTAACCAACGTGTATGAATCAGAAGTAATCGGTGTGACTTGGTCCATTCTATGATCCAAGCACGTACACACGGCCATTTATTGGTACTTTAGTTTGTTCCTTCTTGAATCCTTCCCTCGTATTTTTTCGAGCGAGTTCAACATCAAAAACTATTGTAATTTTTCTCATTTTTTCCCATCTGCAGACTTTGTCATCGTTATTTGCGGGAAGAAGCATGCGGAGTTCCAAATCCGATAGCAAATCGTCAACTTTATCAAAGTTCGTCAAAGGAATGATGTCAAACGTATTTTGAGCTATAAACAAATCGTCACTGTTCGACATCGTTTCCAGAATGACTGCTAAGAATATTTATTTAATTTATCAACCCCACATTTCCCTGCTGAATATCAAATCCCTCCCCGGCTTTAAGTTTCTATGGTATATACAATCCTATGAATAACAAAGAAAACCTAGTGAATTGGAAACTAAAGTTTGTTAGTTACCGAGAACGGAGGCATTACGCTATATATAGCGTAATGCCTCCGTTCTCGGTAACTAACTCTTACATTTTTATTTTTTTATTTGTACTTTCTGCAACTTTGCTCGCAACCTAGCTGCAGGATATCGGACACATATCGTGACCGGGTAGATTGTGGAAAAAAACGGACCGCGCGCTAACCAATCACAGCGCGCGAATGACTAGGATACCGGACCGAATAAAAACATACCATTTTTTCCGCTTATACGTATGGTACTCCGCTATAAATGTGCTGGTATCCCTGCAGCAAATACCACTAGGACACTATTATTGAGCAATAATACATTGAAAAATATGAACTTTCAGAAATTTGAAAAACTTAAAGATCTTCGCCCGTAAGTGACATCATGATTCGGTACTCTATGACAATACAAATGCAACAATGCATTGTGGTCTTCGAATGCACTATGCAGTGTTCAATATCTTGTATTCAACGTTTTCAGAAATAGATAGATGTATACGATAAAATACCGCTAACAATCCGGGAAGGATATTTCCAAAGAAGCATCTTGCTGGGTTTAGTGAATTTGTAGAGATTCCTTATTGAGAGTTTTAGAACGCGAAACGTCAAAACTGATCACGTGATCACTGTTTTATTTTTCTGAATTAACGCTCCGTTCTTTCGCGATTGTGTATAAAATAGATCAGTCACTTTTTCGTGTATAAGCGCATCACTATTCCTTTCGAAGCGTTTTAACGTTTGTTTGAAATTTTGTGACAAAGCATAAAAACCAATTTGACGTTTAGCGTTTGCAGTAAGCGAGGTAAACGAGAATCTAAAACTTTCTAGTAATGTAGGTCTACGAGACTCCTGACTTTACGTCAAGTGGTTTTCATGCTGCTATGCCTAGAGATAGTCTTCTGGTTGTTGGGAATGAAATCATTGAAGCTCCTATGTCTTGGAGAAGCAGATTTTTCGAGCACAGAGCCTTCCGCCCTCTAATGAAAGAATACTTCAAAAAAGGAGCCAAGTGGACGGCTGCACCAAAGCCAACGATGTCAGATGATCTTTATAAAAAAGTATGATATATCCTTATTGATTTTGCATCCATCAATTCTCGTTTGCATCGACATTGAAATTTGGCACGCAACAAAATCAGCAAATCAACCAATCAGCGCGCGAGATTTCTTCAACTCGCTAAAGAGGATTTTGTTGATCGCACGCGATGAAAAACGAAAAACATCGAACCTAAACTTGAACAGAAACAATGTTGCGTGCTATGATGATGGGTTTAGTATCTCGTATTTTGCCACTTTAATCAACCAACGCGTTGTCATGTACGTTACCACCCAATTCAAACCCCGCAGTGGGAAAAAGGAATTGTAGTGTTTCTAAGAAGCAATCAAGCCTTTAAAATCGGGAACTTACTCCCACTTTGGTGGAAACGTTTAAAGCAACGCCTTAGCCGATAAACTATATTGAAAGAATCTAAACGAAAGTAAAACGTTAGCTACAAATGACGAAATGAAAAAAATACTGATTAGAAGTAATATGAATCTAATATCAAAGTTTTCAATCAAAACGAATCTGCACGCTAAACATTGGGTTAAATTATCTATCCAGGGTGACATTAACAGTAAATTACTAATTACGCATAGCAAGGTTTGCCTGCTGTGAATCATCTACTTTTTTCAGGAGTTTTCTAACTTCACTGATGCTGAGAAAATTAAACTTGCTGAACAAGGGAAGTTTGTCACTACTGAGTTTGAGCCTTGCTTCGATGCAGCTGACTTCATGAGGGCAGGAAAAGACATCTTCGCTCAACGAAGCAATGTAAATGTCAATTATATATATTTTAAAAACATAAATAGCAGATTATTATCATCAATATCAACATCACCTGGCAATAGGCAAAAATTAATATAAATACTCCATTTTCGAGTTTAAACTAGCGAACAGCCGCTGCTTTATTTGACAGCTGATTCTCTTACGTTACGAATATTTGCATTTTCTTTGAGTTTAGACTAACCTTGTATATAGCATTAGCCTCAACTTGGGGAAATTTAAATTGTTACTGCTATTGTACTTACAACATTTTTTTAGTGGTTTCGTTTGAGTTTTATATTGTCTTTGCGTAAGAAAATCGATCTGCTGTCAAATAAAACAGCGACTGTTCGCTTTGAATTCGAAAATGCTTATTGGTAACATTGGAATGAATTGTCTGCAAAACAAGGCCTAAATATTAGTATTCTATAACTGATATCTGACAAAAAGAAGCTAGATTGGATTGTGTCATATATTTCAAGTCCTATATCCATATACTTAACAGTACTAGAAGGTAAAGTTGTGCATCCTTCCCTCACATTTCCTGAATGCAAATGATATTGGTAATTTCAATTTTCAGAATAACGATAAAACGCCCCCTCGCTTGAYACAGATGTGAATCTAATAAGTTATGTAAAACTGAAAGTCAAATCAAACATGTGTGGTCAGTTTTACATGGTTTGTTCGCTATTTTGAAAAAAAGATTAAGATCTGATTGATATAACGTAAAATCCATGGCAATAGATATATGTACGAATAAGATAATTGTGTTGTCTTAAATATTCTCATAGGTWACAAATCTCATGGGAATCGAATGGGTGAAACGTCATCTTGGAGACAAGTACAATATCCACATTCTCTCGTTCAGAGACGTCAATCCGATACACATTGACTCCACCTTTAATATAATTGGACCAGGGTTAGCTTTATTAAACCCTGAGCGTCCCTGTAAACAAATTGACATGTTCCACAAGGCTGGATGGAAGATTGTGCGGCCACCTGTCTGGGTTGTCTCTGATGACTACCCTCTTTGGTTATCGTCAAAGTGGCTATCAATGAATGTCCTGATGCTTGATGAAAAGAGGGTTATCTGTTGTGATCCCGACACTGCGACACGCAAGGTTTTT